GGCCTCGACCTCGTGCTTTCTGCATCTGGAAGATTCGTTACCCAGCGAATTCTGCTTAAATACTTTTTTTTTTTTAATGGGGAAAATGCAAGTGTGCAACGGATACGTTAATTTGGGTGTTGAGTGGAACATCTGGCTGCTCATGCAGCACAACGGGCTGGGCAGTGTGCGGTGACGATCCTCCTGCCACCGTCAGGCCTTTATGGCTGAAAATGAAACTCGAGCTCCCCGCTGAGTTACCTGTTCAGAATATGACAGCGTGGACTTAGTCCACCCTAGCAAAATACAGCCGCTTCTGGGCAGCGGCATTTCTAATATTTTCATTTAATACTTCAGGATGAAAAATGAAGTGAGAGTGTCTAGAAAAATGTCTTGAACAGGTATGCAGAGCGCACACAGTTCAGCTGAAGTGCTTCAGACTTTTTGACACGGGTACCGCTTGCTGTCCTGTGAAAAGAATCTTTAAAGCCTGGAAAACATTCACTTTACTTTTTCCTTTTGAAATGCAATTTGAATATTGTTTGAGTGGTTTCACTGCTGAATGATTTCCGTTCTGTGTTTTATCAAAGGTGCTGTTAGAATCCCCACTGTTTCCATATCTCCAGAGGACTTAAATACAACTGCCCTGGTAGAATTTGGGAGTTATATTCGGGAAGGTATTAACTCAACTTTAATTCTTAACTATCTCTGCTGCTCGATGATACTTTAATAAACAAATTGAGCAGAATGTGTGGTTCTTGACTATAGTGGAATAGAGTTTTATTTTGTTTTTCTTCAAGAAAGATGGGCAGAAATGGCATCTATAGGTCACCTCTGCAGCAACGTAGCTGAGAGTAGCGATGGCCAAAGCTAGAGCAGAGCAGATTCAGATGTCTTTTTGCAACGATGTTTTTTGGTCTCTGAGGGAGTTAAGTGACCTCACCATTAAAAAAAGGGCAGAAGAGGAAGATCAGCCCTGCTTGAGCCTTTTCTTTTGGCAGCCCTATCATTGCTACCTGCAAAACAGCTGCAGTGCTGTGAACAACAGTTCCCATTTTTGCTTAGGAAAGTCTTAAATAAAAACTGAGATGGATTGGTTGAGCTGCAAGAGCAGAGCTGCATATCTGCTTCCTGAAAAAAATTGTTGTGATCGCTCTTATTCACAGTGCTCTTACTGAGGTTAAATAGATAACTATGCTGTGGCGTATATAGTGATAAAATTGGAAATTACTGTTAATTTTTCTTACATGTGTTTTTTGTTTTCTTAACAGTCTTTCCTGCTGTATTTTCTTCAAAGTTCATTCAACATGAAATCGTTGGAATGTATAGCCATCTCTTCACTGTTCAGGGTTCCAACCCTGAAATGATGCCCTATATGTTGCTTGCACACATGGATGTTGTGCCTGCTACCCCAGAAGGCTGGGAAGTCCCTCCTTTCTCAGCTGCTGAACGTGAAGGTTTCATCTATGGACGAGGAACACTGGATAACAAAAACTCAGCTATAGTATGTCTTCTTGGTAATTGGTTCTTCTCTTTCAGAGAGATACAAAGTCTGAGAAAAAGACAGAGTGGAGGAATCTATTCTCTTGAGATTTGCATATTGGCTCTCGTGCCTCTCTTTAAATGCAGTATGTTAATGATAAGTTCCTAAGACTTGCAGCGTTCACCTAACTTTTCCTAGAGGTGAAATGGGAGTGGTCTTTTATTACTGAAGGAGACAAAGCTCATACAAGCTACAGAAAATAATGTCTTTATTGATGCAGATATACTTGCCATATTTACATTTTATGTCGAGTGCTGTCTTTGAATTCAGGGATAGACTTTAGAGCACAGATTGGATTTCTCATTCTTGTGTTTTTATATCTTCTTTTTGTGCAAAAGATACTGCTCATTAAATGGATTTGATAGCTCAAGTCAGAGTCAAACTGCGTGTAGTTTAGATAGTTTAAAGGAACAGTAAATTCCTTGAATAATTATAACTCCCATCATGCTTCCTATGCAGTTTGTCAGTGACTTTCCCAGTTGCAAGAACAAGCCCATACTGTATCTTTTGTATGTAGGCTGATACTGTATAGCACGCTAAGTCTTTAGTGGCGTTGGTCGGGACTATGGCAGCGTGATTTCCAGAAAATGTGAGTATCGTCAGTAGGGCTTGTGGAAATAAAAGCTCAGCTGTGAACGGAACAGAGTCTCCTTAAGGGCTCTGAATACGTCATATTTCTTTTACATTGTTTTATTCTCCTTACTGACGCATGAGAATAGTAGAATATATTCTGCTTTTTTCCGCAGGGTATTCTGCAAGCTCTAGAATTTCTGCTCAGAAGAAACTACAGACCCCGCAGATCTTTCTATGTTGGCATTGGACATGATGAAGAGGTATTTTTCTTTCATTTCATCAGAACAGCCTGTTTTCTGCATTGTCCAAGTACGCAACAAGGCTTATTTTTTAAACACTGTTTATCTAGAAAGTCCCTCATGTGTTTCTTACAGTTACATGGATAGATACTGTGTCAGACCCATGTCATAGTTACATATTGATTGGCTTTAAGTGACATTGACCAAGAATTCGATTTAATGAACAAAGAGGAAAGAACACCATAGAGTGTTATGTAGAATTTTTTTTCTGTTTCCAGGTATGGAAGGTGTAGCAGGAGTCCTATTCTGGAGCACAAAGAAAACATGAAAATCTAACCTAAGATTTACTTGGCTGTTCCAAATGGTCAGGAAAAGCTAACAAAAAAGTCCTATTTCTGTATGGGTATAGCCGCTAATAAGTGGTACAGACGGACAAGGTGGTTTTGTTTAGTCATCTTTATAATAAAAAGACAAAGAATTGTTTATAGTGAAAATGAATACCTCTTTAAAGATGAGGAATTAATCTATGTCCAAGAATTGGCAGGATTCAAAACAAGATTCATTGACTTTCATGGATGAGAACATCTCTCAATGTGGATGTAAATTCATCTGCTTCTAGGCCATTAGCAGTGACCACTGGATTTTGCTAGAAAGAACCTTCTGATGACAGGTTATTCTCTAGCTGTTCATTATGGGATTTCTTGCATTCTCTGCATGACAGTGCGCTGGCGCTGTCAACAGCAAGGTGTTTTCCAGTGTTCTTGCTGATGGTGTGGCTTAACCTGGCCAGTTCTTCTGCTTGGATTCTCACAGGTGTTTGGTCAAAAGGGAGGAAAGAAGATTGCAGCTCTGTTGGAAGCTAGAGGAGTGAAACTCTCCTTCTTATTAGATGAGGGAAGCGTTATCCTAGATGGTGTCGTTGCAGGAGTGAAGAAGCCAGTAGCTCTGTAAGTAAGAGGGTACAGAATTAACTGTGATGAAAGCGATCCATTTTCAGTTAGTAATTTCTCAGAAATGATCTTGCTAATATCAACAAAATATGTTTTCAAGGCATGCAGGAGTGTTAGCATTGCTAAAGCTACGGCAGCGGCGCGAAGCGTAAGCAGAGGACCTCCAGAGTCTGCTTGCTGTCCGTCGCAGCTATGCTGACAAAGGCAGAGTGTTCCACTTAGCCAGTGCAGGCGTGTTAATTCTATGCTATGGAGTCTGCTCACTGGAGAAAAAGCCAAGACATTAGTGCTCCAAGGGTTTAAAGACTGTGTTAAAGATGTGTTGTTTTTGTTGGTTCTACAGTGTTTTATATATTAAAAATGAGCAGAGTAGTTCCTTTTACCTATAGTCTGTACGTGTGTCTTTGGAGTTGCATTAATTCATTCATTTATTTATGGTTGGTCAGAATAGGTATCACAGAAAAGGGTTCAATAACACTGAACTTCACTGTGGAAAAGGAGCCAGGACATTCATCCTTTCCTCCTAAGGAGACGAGCATTGGCATTCTTGCAGCAGCAATGTCCAGGTGAGGGCTTCCCTGTCATCTTACGTCTAAGATAGTCAAGCAATCTCAGAAGTCACTGATACGCGATTAGCTTTTTTAGTCCTTACATTAAGAGTGTTTTGTGAATTCCCATTATGTGTTTGAAGCTGAAGCTTGTAGCTCACTTAGAAGTGCAGAAACGCAGTCCCCAACAGAGGGAAAATTGCCGAATGTCTGGAGCTTCTTTTCATTTCAGCTATTCCTAGTATCTGTTGAGTCCTTATAACCCTGACAAGTACTACATCATCGTATCTATCCTAATTTACTTGGTAGCAATAGGGATCGCTTTGTCTGGGTTACAAAATGTCCACGGTATTTATTCTTGCATATATCCTCTACCTACAGCTAATAATTATCCAAGCAAATAAACATGATGCAGTGCCAGGATGTTGCATGCTAAAGCTGGGTACGTCTTCTTGTTACCTGTCTGTGTAGATATCAAGCTGTCTAATAAATATCTATTTTAGAAGAACTTAAAGGGGACAGATACGACAGAAGTTGGTGTACTATTTTTCTAGATTTCTGTGTATCTGCTGTAAGTCAGGCTTTTGCACTTTTTCACCTGTTCCTGAAAGAAAATCTTTGGATGTGACTGGAATGATCAGAAATCTGTAGTGAAGCTGTGCTCACGGTTTTAATTGCCAGGAGAGAAAAGTGTGGTTGCATCTGAAATACATGGTCACATTCAGGAATCAAATTCCCATCAGTCTTCTGGAGCAACATTAGCCAATGATTTTTTTTTTTAAATTTCAAATGTGCGTTTGCCTTGCTGCAGACTGGAGCAGAATCCCATGCCCAACCTGTTTGGCTATGGGCCAGAACTCATGACTATGGAGCACCTTGCATCTGAGGTGAGGAAAGAACTATAATTCCACTCACATATTTTCATATTAATAAGTGAAGAGTAACCCAGCATGTGAACATAGAGCATAGTTACGGATTTATTTCCTGTTGAAATAATTTGCTGGAAAGGAGAAGTATTTAGCTGGCATTTTGCCATGCAAGCAAGTGTTCCTGTTGGCCTTGTTTCAGCCATAGCAAAATGACTACGCTGTCACCTTGAAAGCTAGGAACTTAGTGATTTGTGGTTTTGTTTCTTCCATTTAGTTCAGTTTTCCTCTCAATCTCATCATGACCAATCTGTGGCTGTTTTCACCTGTTGTCAGCAGGTAAGAAAATATATCCTTCCTAAGCATTCCTAGCTTCTCACCCTTAAAAGATGAAGACCACTAGCCATTTCTAGTTTTTCAAGGAAATCAGTCATCACACTTCGTAGTTCAGACAAAGTCAGCGCTTTATGGTTAGCAAGTGCTTTGTTAATTGACTAGGCCTTCATTCAGCTTAATGCCCATGTAATTGTGGTTCTTGTGTTTTACAGATATTAAACTTATTGAAAAATGATTTTTCTTTTTTTTGAGAATTCTTTCCTGGAAACCTTCCACCAATGCCTTGATTCGAACTACTACAGCAGTCACAATGTTTAATGCAGGAGTCAAGGTAGCTTCATTTTGCTTTTTTCCATGTGGCATAATGACACAATTTGAAACAATGTTGTAGGAAGATGATTCCTCCAGTGTGCCAGATATTCTGAATGACATTCAGTTTTCACCTATTTACATCCAGAGATAAGATCAGTACTGGCCTTGGTCTGAGACCCTGTGTGCCCTTACTACCAGTATCACTTTTATTTCAAATGTGGCTTGTGTTTAGCTACAATTAAAAATTACTTCATTTCTGAAATAACTGGTACATGCCACACAGATCTCTGTAAACAAAATAGAAAATGGACAAAATAGAACATTTTCTGTATTACTCTGCAAAGTATTGTTGACAATAGCTGAAACCATGTCACAGTCATAAACACTGAGCAAGGCTCAGGCGGAGCCTTGCTTTTGTGAGGACACACCTGACGCTTACCGTCATTGTAGTAGGCTTAGCATGCACCTTGGGCTGAGAAATAACAGGTTCTGGCTGGTACAGCCAGGTCTTGCCCTAATAAAGAGAAGCAGCTATCCAAAAATACTGTAGGCCTGGAAAATAAACAGGCTCTTCTGTGTTTCCCTGAGAAAAAAATCGTTACTGAAAAGCGTCGCTGGACAAGAACGCAAGTTACAGTGGCTGAACAGTGACACCGAGTGGCCAGGAGAGAAGTGACACCCTGGTTTCTTTTGTTTTTTAAAAGATGGTAACTTTTGTAAGTCTTACAAAGATACAGATAACTCTTTCCTGCAGAATGAGTATGCCTTCACTAACATCATTTGTTAAGTGTCGTACATGTTTCATTCTTGGGGAAAAAGAATATGACAGTAATAAAGTACATTTTTGGACACATCAGATAAAATATTGTTTAAAAAACCAAACTTTATCAAGTTTCTCAAAATAAAGTTTCT